CCCCCCCCCCCCAAACACCGACATCTACCTATACAGAGAGTTACAGCCGTATACAGTATTGACGTTCTTTTGACTTCAGCAGCAGCGATGCACGATTACCTCCGTTCTCCAATCCGTCCCACCGTGGGCTCCTGGCGCTCGTCATCGCAGCAGAGCCTGTTTTTTTGTTTGTTTATTTGTTTACTTGTTTACTTGGCACTTAACCTCATGACGGCGGAGTCGGGTTCCTAAACGGAGAGCTGATGTTGTGATGGACCTCTGAGGTGGAATCTGGCCCCGATCAGGGACGCACCAGTTTGAGCGGCACACACACACAGTCGCTCTCCCTGCACTTCTCTGGACGACCTTGTGTCATTCAAGTGGAACTGAAACGTTCGATATCTCCACGTTCTGTATAATTCTGCTTCACACCCATATTCTGTTGATTGTTCTTTTCCTTCCTCCTCTGCTTTCCTCTAAATGCTGCAGCTGCTGCGAAACTATGCATCGAGTGCATTTCCAAAGATTGTCCACAGAGCGGGAGCGTGTTAGCGTGTTTGTGAGGTGTGATATTTTTACTGGGCCGGATGTAAACAGCTTGTTTTGTCATTCTGTACCGTGTCATAGAACAGTGGAGCCAAGCCGAGTTTAAGGACGTGGTAAATAGTAGCTATTGCCAAGTACGATATTAGAAAAAGGCCCAAAAGATGATTAGATGAAGTATTTCTGCTCATTCGCCACGCTTTGATGAGCGCCTCGACACTAACTGGACCTGAAAGAACCTGAGCGCTGTGTCATCATCCTGTGATGAACTGAAACGGTTAACGGTCTGGTGTATGGAGCCTCGAGAATGACACTTCAATCATCACTTTTTCAGTCTTTAATTATAAACAATTTACAGATTTTAATACATTTAACTAAATGTTAATTAGATATGAATTTCAATCATGCATTACAAAAACTAAATATAAAATGTTATTCTGTTAATCATTGATTGCTGATGTCATTTAAAAATGGAATCATAAAATGTTTTTTTAGAATATTCTACATCACAGAGAATGTCTCTCCTGTTGGAACATCGTGCGATCGCTTTCACATAAAAGCCTCATTAAGTATGAAACGAAGTCCGACCCACAGAGCAGCGACAGGCGCTTCTATTGGCCGGCTGCCGGCTTTTGATCCGCCCTCAGAGCGTATTTTATTATCGCTCTTTTAAAAAATTGTATCCACATATTAATTGATGATAATTAAGTCTGAAAAGGTGGAAATACTCCGGTGGCACCATCAGGGCTCCATAGCACCGTTGACTCGGACCAAACTCCAATGACACCATGACCACGTGATCGGGGTCCAGTTTCACAGCAGGGCCTCCAGTAAGGGGGTCAGCTTTACAGATGTGAATCCACCTCTGTAAAGCTGATCCCAGTGATCAATTTCCTCACTTAGAATAAAGCAAAGAGTCGGGTCAGATGCCGTTCACTCGCTGGAAGCAGGACGACAACATTCACATTCAGTCTGGACTGGAGGGCACGCGGCGGCCATTTAAGAGGCGCGAGCGCCCTCTGGTGGAGGAGGAGCGGCGTTACTTGAAGTATTTACTCCGACAAGAAGACGGCACTTTTGTCTCCGCTGCGTCAGCTGTCATCACTTTGCTCAGCAGAACTGAGAGGAGAAGCAATAAGTTCAGTGTTGATTACCACGAGCCGTCCAGGTCTGAGCTCAGTGTACACTATTTATATTCTGGAGCTATTATGTCTGTTCAAACAGAAAGGATCTGAATCTGCTCACACGTTATACAATGTTAGTATTATTCTGGGCTAGATTTGCTGTTTTGTTTTCATAGAGGAGCGATTAGAATCAAGGAAAGCAGATTTAGGTCCGATATCCCCCCCCCCCCCCCGTGTTTACTTTACTGTGATTGGCCGAGCGCAGGTCTCTTAAGCCATAAAGTGGACGGCGTGCGAGCTCAGCCCCCCCCCCACAGAAAGGATCACCTCCATCATGAATGCTTTATAACACAAAGCTCTATTTTGTTAATATGTAAATGTGTATATATTTATAAATCTATATCGACAGCTCTGTTCTTTTGAGTCCGTCATCGAAAGAGGAAGACGAGTCTGTCAGACCAAAATGTTCCACGACTCAAGTTACTACAAGTTGTTTTTGTTGCTTTCAGACCGTGACTTTATTAAACCTGGTCCACCAGCAGAACCGCAGCAGCTCTAAAGCTAACAAAAAAAAAAGAACCAGCTTCTCAGCAGTTTATGGGACCTCAATAAAACCGTGAAAGAGAGATTTTAAACCCTCCCAAATGTGTGTTGCTTGGCAATTGTATGTTCAAAAAGTGTAATAATCAGGAAAAGCTGGGCTTGTGACACAATCACTGCTTTCTTTGTTGCATCGATGGTAAAATGTTAAGAAAAAAGGACAAAAAAAAACACTTGGAAAATGATCTATTTTTGTACAAAGGTAATTTTATCTCTTTGCTTGTGTTCTCTCCCTTTTCTTCTGCGGGGGGGGGGGGTCGCGCACGTTGTGGAAAAGCTTATTCCACGAGGCGATTTTCAGATTGAAAGTTGAAGGTGCGAGGAAACTATTTTGCCTTTACTTTGCCATTTTCAGCCCGTCGCTGCGAGAAAGGGAATGTCCTCTTTAATTCTATTTTTGTCCATTTGTTTTTTTAAGGAGATGGAATTTTTGTCTTCTGTTCTTTGTGGGTTGTTCTGATGTTCTTATCTTTCATGGACAGGAAAAAAGTTATTAAAAAAACTCAGTGAGCTTGACTGATGCCGGTTGATTGTGTGTGATATAAATGTTTAAACTCACGACTCGTTCACGTGAAACGTACAAAAACTGGGTTTATTAAGTCGCAGGTTATAGCTGTCAAATGTCAAAACATGTATTCCACCAAATACATAATAAATCCAGGTTAACTACAGAGAACAGATGCTGCTGGCTTCATGTGCAGAACTACAGAAGGAGCTAATCAAGCAGAAGAGAACAAAGACAGCTGTAATAATCAAATCACAATACGTCAACGTCATATGTACAGATGCTAGAGGACTAAACGGCTGCATTTGGTCACTTTCCTAAACTGTAAAGTGTTCAATTTAGACATGGGGGGGGGGGGCTTTAAATCCTGGTTTGTTGCCCTGAAAGGACTTACAAACACTGAATATATCTTGTTACGGCACGCGGTGCACATTTGAGATCTAGCAATTAAATATCAAGACAAAAAAAAACAAACACTGATCGCAATGCCTTGAATAATAAATAACAGCCATAGGATCCTTTGATGTCTTTTCTTTTTAATACCTGAAGCTTGATGTCAAAGTCACTTCTCCACCTTGAAATCACTGCAGTTACTCAGAGAAAGTTAAAAAAAAAAAAAATGAATCATGGAAAGGCCAAATAAGCTTTACATTTATCAACGCGAGTTGGTTCGGAGCCGTGACGTTGGGGGGGGTTAACGCAGTGTCAAAAATACTGAAGCACCAGAACAGAGCATCAACATTGTTGTATAATAAAAATAAAAAAACTCCAACTTCCTGGTGGAAGAAACTAAATCTGGCACACGTTAGACGCATGGAATATCTCAGATGCGGCTTTGTGGGTTTTTTGTGGTCGATGATGTCATTTGATTCTCCTCGCTGAATTTCCTCACCTGAAAGCCCTCTGCGGCCTGCAGGAGCTCTCTGTTCGCAAACAAAAAAGTCCTCTTTTCTTACAACAAAACAGAAGAAAAACTCGTTATGAATGGCCCAAAAGATCCAAAAAGAAAAAGGGGGCTTAGCAGTCGCTTCTCCATAGCTTGATGGTTTTGTCGTTTTCTAAAGCCGCGGACGCGATGATGTTCTCTGTCGGGTGGCAGGCGGTCGAAATGACGACGTCTGGAAAGAGTAAGAGACGAGAGGGAGAGTTTTATAAACGTATTACACTCAGCCACAAAGATCGGACTGAAAAACAGCCGACAATGCATCAGGACAAAGTGTCTGATATTGAGCCTATTAAGACGTAAAGGGACAGTTCACCCCAAAATCCAAAGATGTGCTCCTAGTGCCAAAAAGTAAAATAAAAACTCTGCAGCAATGTCCCTTTAAGAAATCAAGACCCGGTTCCCAAAGATAATCCACAGAGCTTGTTGTGAGCAGTTTCATGTAGGAACTACAGACCTATGTATTTTTAATTTGGGGGGGGGAACTGTCCCCTTTAAGAAGTTGAGACCCGAGGCCTCTCCTGTACCTGTGTGGCCCTGGAGTTTCTGCACGATCTCCTTCGTCTGCAGGTTCCAGATATAAACCATGTTGTCCTCTGAGCCGGACACGATCCACTGAAAGAGAACGAGGTAGAAATGAGTACAAAGTGTGCCAGTGAGGCGTTAAATACCAGAAACAGTGTTCACTCGGAACATGAAGGAATCAGAAAGTTCTAACCTTTCCGCCGGTGACGGAGAAGTTCGCGAATATGCAGTACTTCTCGTTTTTGTGGCCGGTGTACGTTTTCAAGCACTGAAATGTAAAAAAAAACAACAGTAAAAACTCAATTTTCTGCTTCACGCAGACAAACTTCATTTGTTGTAAAAGTAAAAAAAAGAATAAAAGGAAACTTAAACGTGAAAGAACATAAATCAACCTGAGTGAATAGCTGCTCACCTTTCCTTTGCTGTAGTCCCACAGCTTCAGCGTGCTGAGTAGACACAAACACAGCAGCGCTAACGTTAGAGTTGCTGCTAGCATTAGCAGCAACAATGTGACTGTAAAGCCAGTAAGTCTTCTCATCTTATTACTTCCATGTACATTCTGTTACTGTCAACCTGTAGCTGAGGGAAGCCTTTCGTAGCGCTGCGCCGCCCTCTGCTGGTGACAACCCTGAACAACATGAACGCCTCTTCTAACACAAAGGAGCGCGGTGACACTCACTTGTCCAGCGTGGCCGCCAGGATGTACTTCCCGTTAGGGGAGAACTTCACAAACGACACGGGGGGGTTGTCGTCGTCTGACAAACAACAACGGGAGCAGAGTCAGCACAAAATACGGCACGCAATAATATCACACGTGTTACGATGCCTCAATTCAAACAGTATTATGTCACTCATCACCTCAAAATAAATACTTTTATTTGCCCCTGTGATAAATGTCCTCGCCCTGCACATGAAGGCTGAGCTTACCTATGAGCGTCTTTAAACACTGCCCCGATGCCGTGTCCCAGATTCGGCTGGGAACATAAACCAAAACAATGAATTAGGCTTTAAAAGGTAATACAATGAATAAAACAGAAGCATAGCATCACCATTTTAAAACAATGCTATGAGCAAATATTCCTATAGATTTAATATAATAAGAATATGGGTTATTTAATTAGTTTTGCTCACATATTTGGTCTTCATAACTCAGCACCCATCCTACGTGTTTTCAAGCAGGTGTTAGTTTTATTTAATAAAGGCGATTTATTTGGAGTCCAACTGTCAAAGCCGGTAATGTTCATACTTGCATGATTTATTATTATTAAATCTATTTTGTCTTAAACTTTCTGCTAATGACGACCACAGTTTTACATTTTCCTCGGTCACTGTTAAAGATCCGTCTGGCAGCACGAGTAGTGAACGTGTGATGTAGACGAGCTTGGTTCTCACCAGAGTCCGTCGTAGCTGCTGGACACGATCAGGGAGCCGTCTCTGTTGAAGTGAACCTGTAGGCCGAGACAGACCATCACGTTTACTGGCACCGTGTTGATCTTAATAACATCATCCAATATTAATACCACTATAAAAAAAAATAACTTACAGCTGAAACTGGGTCAGAATGAGCCGGCAATGTTTTCAAACACTTGCCGGTCTTCACGTCCCATATCCGTACACTCTCATCAAACTGGAAGCAAAACAACAACAGACATGTTGAGGCGATGCTTAATAAAGTCGAGTGCTTTAGCAGAAGGTCTAACAGCATTCCCATTGACTGCTTGTTCTGTGCCAGGAGCTCTGTACTCACCGATCCTGACACGATGAGATTGGACTGGGGGTTGAAGTTGCAGCAGAAGACGTAGTTGCTGTGACCTTTTAGAGTTTTTAAGCATTTCCCCTAGAAGAAAGAAGCAAAAAGAGAGAGAAATGTCACATTCTCATTTGCTGAAGTCACACTCGGTGTTGGGCGATCTCTGGAACGTGATGGGATTGTTCTGCTCAGTGGCTCAGAGCGTTTCATTGAGCGCTCTCTTACCGAGCTGACGTCCCAGATCTTCAGGGTTTTGTCGTCGGATGCGGACACCAGGAGGTTGGAGTCGGAGGACCAGGCCACGTCAGATATACCCTGCAGGTCCACGGGGTGTTGATTAGGAACACAACAGTCAAGGATAAGCAGATAATACGACCACGGTGTAAAGGTGAGGATCTGTTAACTCACCAGTTTGTGTCCGGATATGGTTTTCTCAAACTTGCCGTCGTATGCGCCCCAGATTTTGATGAGTTTATCGGCAGCTGTAAAGACAAAAAAAATGATGCATTCAGTGAGTGTTGCTGCAGCCTCCGTGAACACAAGCTCACTGCTCTTTTCACAACATAATTATGATAAAAGGCAAGTGAGAAAATATCTTCAAATAGGATTTACAGTAGAGCGGCAATGTTTAGTAGATTGATCTGCAACTTTTTGGATAGTTGGCCAATTTTTTTTCAGTCATTCTTTAAGCATAAATAACAATCATCACCACCCTCTGCTTCCATTAAGCACACGGTGATGAAGACATGAGGAATTGTAAATGTCATTTTATTAATGGACGAAACGCTGAATCGAGAAAATAGCTAGCAGATTAAATGATCATGGAAAATAATTTTGAATTGCGGCCCTAATGTTCTGTGGCCCCACATGAGGTTTTGGAAACTAAAGGAACTCACACGAGCTGGCGAGCCATTCTCCGCTGGGACTGAATTTGACGGAGGAGACGGCTTTAGTGTGGCCCGCTAGTGTGAACTTCAGGCTGTAGTTGGGCTTGCCGGGCGCAGACTGTGAATGAGAACATGAGGTTTAGAAACGTACGACTAACAGGCAGACATTCATTTATTAATGACAAAGAAAAACCTACGTTTCCCCCACACATGTTCTCACAATTAACCAATAAGTGAAGTGCTGTAGTTGCAGATATTTAAGGGACCCGGACCTTGCTTTGACTGGCAGACGCTGATGGGACGACGGGAGGCTTCGTGTCGGTCTCTGGTTTCTTATCTTCCGTTGCCATGGTGAGGAAATGAGCATCTACTAAGCACGCTCCTGGAGACAAGATGTTGAGTTTAATAATGAAATCCTGTTCGAGTCTGAGCACTGTCGCATTCACAGACAACCGAAGTGAACGTAGCGGTGAAACAAACGTCTGCGTTATACGGAGACAGCCCTCAGAGTCCTCAGCACACACGTTATGATTAGAGTATTAATATTAGAGTACTAATATGTAAATTAGAACAATGTGTGATTACAATGTGCATTGGTTGGTCTTCATGATGATTAAAGGACTGATTTCTACAGTGGATGCATAGATAATTTACTTCAAGTGAGTTCAACTGTACTGTTCAGTCCAGTCTATAAATGACGCGATCCAACTAACTGATATTTATGCTTTTAATGTAAACTATGACAGATATGTCATATGGAGGGGAGACAACGGGGTTTAATACTGTAACGTTAACGTTAATTCAATACAAACGCAGCCATTAGATCTACGGTTAAAAGATGATTTTAATCTTAGTCTTTAGTCGTTAAACAGACATGACCTGTGTGGCTGCTTTCTACTTTAGCATAGCGTTATGTAACAAAAAAATGTAGCTATTTCAGCTAGCAATTAGCTAGCTACCGTCATCTGGCTTGTTACGGTTAAAAAGGACTGAATATAAACATGTAATACCTTTAGCTAAGACTATACGTGTGGCTAGTTGGTATCAATTACAAAACCGTTCACGTTTATTCGTGTTTAAATGCGACAAAGGCCAAAATAAGAATTATTAAACAAAGGGCGACACGGAACCCCTTCGTTGGTTAGTTTAGCCGTGACAGTAGCTATCGTCATGCTGAATATTGAGCATTTACACGGTTACGATTTGAAGGCCAGACAGAGACGGACAACAACTCAATGTTGAATCCACTGGTTTAACACGAGAGCTAATGTGAGTCCCAACATGCTAGCCGTCTGCTCGCGAAGCATTAACGCTGTTGACAAATTGGTTGAGCTGCCACGGAGGGGCCCTCCATTCAAACGGTGAGGATTCAGTCGTGAGCGGATACTCACGGGGATTCGATGCAGCTTCGCGGTCAGATTGTTACTCCTCGTGAAGATTGGAGGGAGAAATTAATATTTTTTTACTCAGACGACCATGAAGTACGCGTTAATCAATAGGCTGGCTGCTGGGTGCTCGCCTGCGACGAGAAGCGAGGAATGTGGTGCGCTGGTGCGTCTCTGCGCATGCGTGTCACTCTCAGAAGTAACGGCGGCCAATGAGGGACAAAAAGTGTCAAAGGCAAATTTACCTATTTCGTCACTTGTGCGTTTTAGTAGTGGTGTTCCAGGTGACCCTCGTCATTTTAATGTGCACTTTTAATATGAATCGTCCTGCATACGTTGTTTTTCTTGAGACTGTTATGTATTGGGCTCAATTAGTGCGAGTCATTACATCAATATTTGAATAATTTACCTCAGGAGAGGTAAAGTTAGATAATGTTACTTAAAAGCTGATGGCAGTACAATAATGTTATCAAAAATCCTGTCAAAGGATATAACGTTAGCCTGAAACGTAGACATCCCTTTGTGACATAATACCATACAAACGTGGCCCAACACACTCCAGCACAGTAGGTGGCAGTGTGCACCTTTGGTTTACAATCCGCCAGTGAAGCGGTCTGGGGAGGAGGGCACGTTCCTGGCTTCAGGTTTGTTGTTTCGGTCACAAAGTTTCAAAGTTGGTCAAACGGTGCTCTCTAATGTTTGTTTTCTTGTGTGCGTAAGTGTCCATAAACTCTCGTTTCAACGTGCCTTGCTAGGGAAATTAGTTAGTAAAAACTCCTGTAGTTATCCTAAATGTTAGTTTTTTTTATCCGCGACCCCCCCCCCACCCCCCCGCGAGACAGTTTACGTTGCAGTTGTGTGAGGATAACAGGTAACATTAGCTCGTAAGGTAGCTCCTCCAAGGCTCCAATGTTTAAGCTTTGAGCTGAAACTTAAACCTCCTCACAGCAAAGCGCGACTCTCGGCCTTGACTTGTGTGCCAAATTCCCCTACGAGGCAATATGAGACTTTATTCGAACGACTATTCTTTATTTTGTAACGGCGACTTGTGATGACACGGTGCACGTTTAGTTTCGCCTGCTAGCTAGCTGAAGTACAGCTAACAGCACATCGCAGGCTTGTCCTGTAGCTGGTATGGCGCTCTATTTATTGCACTTAAAAAAAACAATTGTCAAACTCTTCTGTTTGCTCTTTGTCGAGTGTCAAATCAGCATTAACGTGTTAACATGTTAAAGCCAGTAATATTTATTTATTGCTATAATGTTACACGTTACCGAAACTAACCTGTAGCGCGTCACTCTTCAACCTCTCTTAAACTGTGTTAAACATCTCGTCTTTCCTTTGAAAATCACTGCCTTGATGACCTTTGACCTTCTTGTCAGTTGCAAAAGTGACGATAAAACAGCCCAGAATCACAGTCTATACTATGGAAAGCCACAATTTAACAATGAAATAACAATAAACAAGTGGAACACACACTCCTATAGTACACCAAAACTCCTGAACCTATGGCAGCAGTTGAACAACATGCAGCTGATAACGTGGAGAATCACCAGATGGACTCATTCACGTGAGCTCTTCATAAACATCTTTGTAACTGCAATGATGTCTTATGCTACGTACCAAGTGGGACTCAGAGTTGAGAGCTTTAACTCTACTTAACTTTGGAGTCTGTTGTGCAAATCTAGACTTCATGTGTTTGCATGTTTGTGTATTCGACTGAGCCATTTGTGAAGCCATCCCCACCACCGGTGTTGCAACCACATTTGAAAGTAGATCAACCGTAGTTACATTACATAACATCGTCAGTAGTAGCGGCTTGTTTTGTATATATTTCTGAACCATAGTTATGATCTCTCTCTGTTTTTATGTCGACAGATCACATCGTCTGGTATGAAAACTATGAATGAAGCGTGCCGGCGTTCCCTCGGAGCCTTTGATGAGCTGACGGACGAAAGCTGCGGGATTCACGGGAGATAACACAAACCAGCAGAGGTCGTGTCCTGTCGGGGAGACCGGTCCCGGCCATGTCAGCAGACGCTCGCCCGGACCCCCCGCGGTTCGTGAACCCTCCGCCCCCCGAGGTCACCAACCCCAACGGGCCCGGCCGGAGGACCAACCAGCTGCAGTACATGCAGAGTGTAGTGATGAAGTCCCTGTGGCGGCACCAGTTCTCCTGGCCTTTTCACCAGCCGGTTAATGCAGTCGCTCTTGGGCTGCCAGTAAGTAGTTTAAAGTGATTTCAATGTTCATCTAGGTTGTGAAGATGCTTTCATATAATAAATCCTGAGATAAAACAACACAACTGCAGCTTCCACAGGACTTCATTATATGGCATTGTACTAACTACAATCGTGATAATCATCCCTGATAAAGGCAGCAGTATATTTGCTACAAAATACTTTTTTTTTTTCAAACTCTGATGGACAAAAAAAAACTGTTATTCACAACCAAATTAAAGTAGCCTCTTGGCTACTGATGCCTGAACTTGGTACATTTTGTGCACACATGGACTCCCACTGTGTAACCGTCTTTCCTACGTCTGAAACGTCACACACGTGTTTGTCTCGCCGTGCTGGAGAGAGTCTGCTTTCCTCTTTTCGTTCACTGAAGTAAAACTGCTTCTAAATCCTTCAATCTTCTCATTCTTTCGTTGACCCTAGTGATGTTGTTTCGTTCACCTGTTTTATTGTTTCTCTCCTTGGTTTTCATCCCAAATAAATGTGGCTAATCTTGAGTTTCTAGCTCTGTCTGACATTTCAACAATGCCGCTGTGTTCCTAGATCTCTGCATTATTAACATGAATGTAAACTGGAATTATCCCGGAAGTGAGAAATATCAAATTGTAGGGATTCCGCATTAATAAACCTTTCCTCTTCAGATCCTTTTAGAAGACGTGGGAGAGAAAAAAAAAAAAAAGCTCATCTGACACGTTGTCTCTTTTTTTTTTTTTTTTTTTTTTCCTCAATCAGGATTATCATACGATCATAACGTCTCCCATGGACCTGGGAACCATCAAGAAACGACTGGAGAACGACTACTATGGGAGCGCGAGTGAATGTATGCAAGACTTCAACACCATGTTCACCAACTGCTACATCTACAACAAGGTGAGGAGCTCCGTGACGGGGAATGCAACGCGGCGGTTAGCCTCACGTGAAAACGAAATCCTCACCGATGTACCTCTGTCCTCCAGCCCACAGATGACATCGTGCTGATGGCGCTCGCCGTGGAAAAGGTTTTCTTGCAAAAAGTTGCCCAGATGCAGCCAAGGGAAGTGGAGCTTCTTCCTCACGCCGCCAAAGGGAAGGGAAAGAAAAGTAGCACCCCCGGTACTGAAGGTACGCGCACGAACCCTTCGGATGTACAGTGTATGGTATGAACATAATATAATTACATGTTGTCATATAATAATACTAATTATATGGGCCATAGTTATAATAACCATCATAAGTATATAGTTATGATTACATTGACATAGCAATTAGGTGCGAGGCCAGGCCGGGGCAGCGGAGAGGCAATCGAGACGTCCTGCTTTCAGTTTTAATGTTGTGTTCTATTAAATGCAATCTAAAGGTTACAACCAGATCTCCCTTAAACTACGTATATGTTTCCTTAATTCATCCCTCACTATTTCACACTTTCTTTTCACGCAAAACATGGTGACTGTCACTGCTGCAGTTTATCTTGGCATCCCTTGTTGGGTGTGTGAAAGCTTTATATTCGGGCCTGCATGAATCAGCGGCACCCTAAAGTCTCTCGACGGTTCAGCCAGCACTGTCTGCAGCATCAGTGAGCCTCTGCCCCTCTTCTTCCTTTTGTCTGTTTTGAAGTGTCTCTGCTCTCTAACTATATACTCTGTACCCTGTGGGTCCTTTAGTGAGGTTGAACTTTGCAGTCACAGAAATTGGGTTTCTTCCTAAGCGTTGTTTTTCTCATTCCACCTAAATGATATTGCACTCTGGAAATGTATACGGCTATTAGCGCAGTAATTGTGGGTGTTTCTTAAATCGTTTACGTGTACATGTTGGAGCGTACAGACCGACGGCCACTGAGAACAACAGGCCTGTGTGTGTGTGTGTGTGTGTTTTCAGAAATCAGGGTGGAAATAACCTGCACACAGCGACACGGAAAGATGTGCCGTCTTCGATCAATCTTAGCTTAGATTGAACACACACACTGGATGTTTGTTGCTGCTTCTTTTGGCCAGAAAAAAAAAATCCTGTTACAATAACTCAATGCACTTTAAAACCTGATCTTATAAAATAGTACTACTTCGACTAAGATTAATATTTTACTGGGTTTCTTTCTCTTTTATTTGAGTTTGTCAGGGTTCCCACGCGTCCTGGAAAACAAAATTGGAAGACCAATTTCCCAGTCATTGAAAACGCACATTGGAAAATGAGAGGAAGAGTAAAACGTCCTTGAAAATGATTTCAACATTCTCTTGTTTTCCTTTTGCTCATAATGTACCACTAGTCTATCCATCAGAGCTCCCCAAAACGGATAACGGACTAAGTTGTGTTTATTGTGTACATTACCGTTCAAATGGTAGTTTTTTGACAAGAGTATTTTGAATACGCTGCTGTCGGTTATGTTGTGGAATAACTGTGAACACACCCCCGGAGTCACGTCACGTGGTAGCACGTGCAGGTTGGATGACAATACGTACTTTTCTTTCTTTCCGACAGTTGACCAATCGGTTAGCACGGTTCAGTCACATTGTTTGTTCTGCAGAATTGTAGGCTACTATTTGTGTTATTGGTGTTTCGGCAGCAAACTTTTTTTTTTTTTTTTTTTTTTTTTTTTTTTTAAAAGGGGATGTATTAGTGAATGCTGCGATGCCTTATCTTTCATATCAGCTACACCATCACTGAAAATGCCCCGTGTTTGTGTTTGATCCACGTCTGCAGGTGGGCAGAACGGAGCCGTGACATGTCCTTCAGCTGCGACGCCCACAACTCAGCCGAGCCTCTTAAACACGCCCTCCAGCTCGTCCTCGGTGCCCAAACACCCGTCACAGACCGCCACAAAAGTGAGTCGCCGTTTACGTCTCTTCCTATTAGTTTGGAATCGCAGATGATGAGGAGAGTTTCCTCTTATTGTGGTGTTGTTTTTGTGTTTCATTGGAGAAGAAAGGGCTGAAGCGGAAGGTGGATGCCGCCGCTGATCCCTCCACAGCGGCCGTAACCAGTTTGAGCGATTCGTCAGGAAGCAAGAGGAGACGTGAAAGCGCGGGCCGGGGGAAGGAGCTGCCGGAACAAGAAAACGAACAGCTCCAGATTTGCAACGATATCCTGAAGGAAATGCTGTCCAAGAAATACCTGGCCTACGCCTGGCCGTTCTACAAGCCCGTCGACGCTGCAGCTCTGCAGCTCCACGACTACCACCTCATCATCAAATACCCCATGGATCTGAGCACTGTGAAGGTACGAGCCGTACAAGTACATCCCCTTCATGGTTCATCTCACGGGCAGGACGGTTGTTGTCTTCATGACTTTTTTTCCATTTCCAGAAAAAGATGGATGGAGGAGAGTACCAGGACGCACAAGGCTTCGCTGCAGACGTCAGGCTGATTTTTTCCAATTGCTACAAATACAACCCGCCGCATCATGATGTTGTCGCTAAGGCCATAAAACTTCAGGTGCTTTTTGTATTAACAAAAAAAAAAAAAAGGTTTTGCAGGTTTTTTTTTTTTTTTTAGGACTCGGTCTTCTATTTCACTCGATCCTCCTTTCGTCACTGTGCATGCGTTTGCTTCAGGGTGTGTTCGAGATGATGTTCGCAAAGATGCCGGACGAGCCGGTGGAGTTGCCATCGCCAGCCAAGAGAGCGGGTTTTAGTGGGTACGGCTCCTACAACGCCGACAAATCAGACTTAGCGGACGAGCGGGACAAACCCACCCGACTTGCTGAGGTTCAAGAACAGGTGGGTATCTGCACACGTCTCTAAATCCAGAGTTCCTCTTTGCTTTGCGACGCCTCTGGTTTCCTATAGATTCATTGACCTCTAGCTTAATTATCTAAAGTGTTGCCTTTACTTACAAATGCTGACATAGCATCTACGCTACCTGTAAAAAAAAAAAAAAAAAAACCCTGTGTACTGTAAAATGCAATGAAAATATAGCTTTTATATAAGTTCAAATTTCACCACATACCAAGTCAGCAGAAGCTTTTTCTTCATTTCCGCATGAGATGAGATAACAGAGTTTTCTGGAGCAGACATTATGTTTTGTGTCCTGCAGCGTTAGGTCATGCATTAAGTATATCAGAAGACCTTCTCTGACTGTTAAATGATCACACGCTGAGCTGAACTCGGCCCAGCAGACAGTAAATCGCTCAGTGAGACTTCCTTGTCTTTATTCTCACTCCAACGTGCTCGCACACAGAAACTACTCTCTGGCATGATTTCCTACTGTTGCTATTTTTCTTGGCACCTACTATTTTGATACTACCATATGTACCACAAAAAGCTAATTTCTTTTATTTTTTGTTGACATGGCTTCAAACTGTTCATGAACAGCTCCCTGCATACTGTGAAGTCCCTGCGCTCAGACCAAAGAAGATGAAAGAAAAGGACCATAAAGAGGACAGCAGGCAGCATTACAACTCCAGGTAGGATGTTTTACAGAACTGAAGAACTCTATTATCAAAGTATGTCACTTCCACGTAGAGACCTTTTGACGGCTTTGTCTCGGAATTCCAGGCGGTCGTGGTTGGGAAGCAACGTCTGTGATTCGGATGATGAAACTCTGCAGATGACGTACGACGAGAAGCAACAGCTGAGCCTCGACATTAACCGGTTGCCTGGCCTGAAGCTGGGCCGCGTGGTGCACATCATTCAGAGACGAGAGCCCTCGATGCACGACACCAGCCCCGAAGAGATCGAGATCGACTTCGAGTTACTGAAGCCGTCCACTCTGCGCGAGCTGGAGCAATACGTGAAGTCTTGTCTGTATAAGAAGTTCAAGAAATGTCAAAGTAAGTAGGAAGCCGTCCTCCCACCTTCCCTCGAATTATTAGTATTATCTCCGCCAGGAGGATCATGCGATCGGTCGCGTGTGTGTGTGTGTGTGTGTGTGTGTGTGTCTGTGTGTGTCTGTCTGTGTGTGTGTGTGTGTGTGTGTGTCTGTGTGTGTGTGTGTGTGTGTGTGTGTGCGTGTGTGCACACCCCTGTGTCTGTCCAATCTTGTGTTCAATCGTACATTACAGCGGTGGTTGTTGCACACACACCTGGCGGAGATGTGCCCTCCACTGAGTGCACCTTTGTTTGAAATGAATGTGCTAACAAAACATCGACAACAACATGTAAATGCCCTCAGCATCTGTAGAATTGATTTGGTGACGGTGCTTCCTTTACTTCCCTCCATCCAGAGAAAGGCAGTCATGCTGCGTCTCATCACGTCAGCTGCAGCACTTCTTCAGATTCGGCCACCAGCACCTCCAGTGACTCCAGTTCAGAAAACGGCGACTCGTGACGGCTGTAATGTTTTTTATTTATTTCTTTTGTGACCAAAAAACCTGTTAACCATTCCTATTTTTCTATTTGTCTTATGTTCAAATATTTGGAAAAGGAAACTTCCTTTTACTCAGCATGGCCTTTCTTACTCCTTTACAAATCGTAATATCCGGCGCTGGTGTTTCTTATCGGACGCTATAAATTCACTGGGGCACATTTCATAACATCTGAGTTTAATATCCTGTCCCCACACTGTTTAATTACAGTACAGGCCTTTTTCAAACACCTCGTTGAAATATTCTTCTCCACCTCCAATTCTTGCAGGAGACTCTTGCTCTTCAAGTCGAGAGAAGCATGTTTCTATTGTAGGACATGATTATGAACAAGTATATTTAGTCACAATCTCAAGCACGCTGCACAGTTCTGAGGGCTGCTGTTTGAGACTGTGACGTGGATATTCATCTTTATGGTGGCAATATAGTATACATTTAGTCTTGTTCATTAGAAAGTATGGAGAGGGTGGGTACAAGGATTTTGGTTCACAGCTCCACACACGTGTTATGTACAGTACTTGTCTGTTTCAATTGTGGAAGAAACTGGAAAATGAATGTTGAAACGTAGAAGGTACCTTGCTCCTCGTGAGCAACTGTCGTTTGACTTTCACCTTTTTGGGTGCCATCCGTGATTATTGCTCCAAGCAGAGCAGTTTAAAACAAACCACTGCATGACCTTTGTGAAGGGCCACCGGTGTTTAGCACGGCGTAGTCCATTTACTACAAATGACTTCCATTGAATATTTTCCCCATGATGCAGTGCTTTAACTGAGTCTTCCCCTCCAGGCTTCTTAGCGGTGTGCTATGAAAGTCAACTTGCAGAGACTTGAGTCCAGTAATCCATCAAAGTGAAGATCACGTCCACTGTTATTTATGTCCCCTGCCAGTATGTTGCATGGCGATGCACTGCTGTCTTCTTAAACCTATGTTTCAAGTCTCTACAATTAGATTTTGTATTCCGTTTGAACAAAATCAAACGACTAAATGAGGCCTGGAAAAACCATGTTCAAAAAAGAGAAACAGCCCACACAGCAGGAATGTCATTTGTTGTAAATGAACCACAGCATGAAAGAAAAACACGTACGTAAGTTCTTGTTTCCAACCATGTTTTTAAAACCATTTGGTTGCTGTTAATATGAATTTACTTGTGATAAGATAATATTCCATCTGTCTGCGTAAGCTCTCCTGTTTCTATTTTGTTAATAAAAGTAAAAGCACAACGGTGGCCTTGTCTTTGTTTGACAGGGTCGGTGTAAAGTGCCCTCAACGTCGTGCTCTTTAGTCCACAGCGTGCACCACAGTGACAGAAAGCCCTCCTGATTGAAACATTGACTCCACTTTCAGCTGGTCTGGTAACTGCCCTGCAGAAAACTGGCACGCACCCGAAGCTGACCAGTTCAAACAGCTGGTGCCTCCTCCGTCGGACCGCAGGGCTTAACTCCTTTAGACGTGGGCGCAAAGCACTGGAGATGTAGTGTGTGTGTGAGAGGACTGTGGTACTGAAGCACTGGAGATGTAGTGTGTGTGTGTGTGTGTGTGTGTGTGTGTGTGTGTGTGTGTGTGTGAGGACTGTGGTACTGAAGAAGATAAAGAGTAAACTGGGAATCTGTGGCTAAACAGAGCTTGCAGTTCAGTCAATCAGCCAGGAGATGGCCGTCATGCACTATCCTCAGCTTTATGAAGATACGTTTTCATGGTTTCACTGTTGTATTTTAGAAAATACTGCAGTTGGGATGGATTATATAGCCTTAATGCATTCATTATATATTATTTATTTATTTATCTACTCATAACAAAATGTAGCTTGAAGTGATTTTCATTAAGAGAAGAGTGAAAAGTTTTAGTTTTTTTTTTTTAAATTCTGGGCTATTTTGCTTCTATAACGCGTCTTCTTTTTCAGACTAGTGGAAAGAAAAATCCAAAATACACATTTAGCTGTTCATTTAACTTCTGTGTCTGTAGATTTCTCCTAAATTCACAGAAAGTTAGCATTAGATAATGCCTCACTTGCATATTTGAGCATAAAGTTTCAGAAAACGTGATTGTCTCAATGTAAGTAATGAACTGGGGAAAGTTTGATGGTGATGTCTTTGGTTTAATATCTACCTAAAGTGTCTTGCAAAATGAATGGAATTTTACAAAACATCTCTTTAAAGGCCATTTACTCAAAATGAGTTTTTTCTCAGACTGAGCCAGAAATCTCCACTTCAGTTGCACTTCCATACACCAAACTTCCCATTCCTGTGTGTTCTGAAGGTTTTTACTGAGGGCGTAGGTCATATATCATTCATAGCCTGATTTATAAAACATTTTATCAGTCAAAACATGGCATTTTTTTTTTTTCATGGCTGCTGTTGACAGTATTTTTTGATTTATGGAGTGATAAAAAGAGATATCCAAAATTCTCGTCGTAAAAGGCTTTGACTCTAATACGTCAGCAAAATGAAATGAGTTATGAACCTGGCTTCATCCATTGCTCAGACTGATATGCAACATTTGCATATTTAAACCTACATGTTCAGAAAACTTCTAAAAAAATATATACTTGTCTTAATAAGTATTCAACTTGGTAAGTTTCATGGGCATATCTGTTATACCTATGAGCCTGTGGTGTTGCTGCTTGCACCGCTCATACAAAACAATTTCCCACTGGACGCTGCACTTCCTTGTGTCCTGAGCAATATACACTTGCCATGCCATAGTTGCTTCAAACAACCAAGTCAGAGACACCGGTGATAGGCCTACAGTCTGATTAACAGTTAGCGACCTGGACCTGGGGCCCCCAAATAAAACAGCTATAGATGTATTATGCTGTTTAATATAAAGATGTAATGATGTTACTCTACTCTAACACATTATACCCTGAAATAAGTTACAAAAAGCCCCCGAAGCACTTAGAAATATACAACTCAGCTGTATAGCCGACGACTTACTGTGTACTACTACTTCAGAGGGAAACATTGTCGTATACATTTACATGACAGAGTAATGTTGCTGGTTTCATGGCAGGTTCAGATTTGCGGAACAATCTGTAAATGTTAGGAAAGCAACGCACGGCGAACGTTGGCTGAAAGTTAGGAAAGCAACGCACTTGTGCTGATAATGCCTCTCTCACTCTTCACTTGAAGTAATAATTTGAATGCAGGACTTTTACTGCTTCGTCTTAATTGTTTTACCATTGATAGACGACACGCTGGACTGCTGAGGCCTGAAGCCCCCCTGTCTAGCCTTGCACTGCGCATGTCGCAGAGAGAGGACGTGCTCTTTGTGACCTGCACTCCCATCATGCCACACGCAACATGCCACTCTGCACCGACCAACAACCTCCGGGGGGGGGGGCGTGATTGATCAATGCCGCAACTCCAATGACAACAAGTCATTCGTGCCACTTCTGTCCATCACTCACAACGCATAAAGCCGATTGCTTAAAAAGACCACGCATGCAACCCTCCAGGCACATCGCACCACACTCTGTGTGTGTGTGTGTGTGTGTGTGTGTGTGTGTTCGCTTTGATTAATGGATCTCTGGTTTTCATTTTCTTTTCACCAACTGGTACAAAAAAGTGGTCAGTCAGTTTGAATCAAAGTATGGAGAGTGACCTGCACATGTATGCACTTTTGTTTGGCAAGTTGCGCTAACGTGACTTACTTCAAGAATCTTAAATGCAAATTAGCCGATACTTTTCTCGATAAATTAAGAGACTTTTAAAAATATATATATATATATGCTTAATTGGTAACAAAATCTATGATGCCTATTAATCTATTTTAAAACTATTACTTATCCAAGGGGATTGCTGAGTGTGTAGTTTTTGCAGCGCTGCACTGCATCACATTCCCATACATTTTGTATGTGCATTTATATTCACTTGTGGGAGCTGCAGGACCATAAGCTTATACTCAGCAGTATTACTGGACTCAGCTACAGGCCACCAAACCACAACCCCGACGCTCTGACGTTCAGGCTGGTTGGGCTCTTCAGAACGCCTTTAAAGGTGAAGTGATGTCATGGCTCCATCGGGCCCAACTCAAAGACGGTTTTGTAAGAATGCGTCCTGCAAAGTCATATTTGTCTGCTTGCATGCTTCCTTAAGGTTGGGACTGTTTATGCATTCACACATAAACTGCAAGTACATTCTCTGTGGATGAGGACTGCAGTCTCAGTAACCGAGGCTGAAACTGATCACCGGGTAATTCCATGTTGACTTTCGGGTCTGCTGGTCGGCCCCCCGGGACTCAGAAGCCTGAGGATGAATTTGGGGCTACACAGCCAGCACTCCTGAAAGACAGACCACATCCACAGTCACCGTAAATGAAAGCAAAACCGCCTCGGGCCTCTACAGGCTGTCCTGACCTCACGTAGCGAGCAGATGTGAGACAACTGCAGGAGACAAGGGAGGAGTCTCACAGGTCCAAATTGAAATGCACAAACTAATGTTTCAGGCATCTTGTTGTTCCGTATATGCCTGCACAATCACTGGGGAAGGCTTTTCATGCCTGGGTGTGAATGAAACGCTGCCTGTGTCAAACAGGATTTTGGTTTAAAAATGTTGGCTTTGTATTCTTGAACTGGAGGCTTGGACCTCTGGGTCAGAAACGATGGGCGGCAGCGATCATGGTCTCTACACCGTATTGACATGGTTGAGTTGTGACATATTTGGGCGGGAGTCAGTCCCAAACCGGGCAGCGAAGAAGAAAGCTGAGGAAGAAGAGGCCTCTGACACGATATCCAGCTGTAAAGACCTGGAAGTGGTCGTTTGAATCCTTCCTTAAGCCGTACACATTGATGACTTAATTTGATGACTTGTACTTCATGTATAAATCAGCTTTGCAATCTTTAAATAAAAAAAACATGAAAATAAAATCCTCGTTCAGGTACAAAAAGAAGCTCATAACATGAGACGAGAGTTTTATGCCCGGAGATAAATTTGCCAAATGTGTTACATCCCTGAGGAAATGTGAAGGTGAGAAGGGACGATTATGACGGGGGTTGAGGAAGTAATGAGACGTGACGGAGGGGGTTTGACAAGAAACAGGTGGCATATTGATTTTAGTGACGATTAAGTGATTAATTGACCAATTTTGATTATTTCACTAACAAGGCCTGACATTGGGAAATCTATTGAAGAGGAGAGAGACCGGGAAAGGAAACTAGGGAATGAAATGAAACGCAATGTCTCTAAATGGCAGAGGACACTTAAAATAATAGCTGGGTGCTGTTTTTCACAATTTTTTGTACTCCAAAAACGGAGCGGAAATGCAGAGTCTGTGATATTTCTGTCACTACGAGCAACTCCTTTCACGTTAATATGGATAAAAAAAATATGGATTGTGATAGGCCTTTTTTCCCAGCTGACATTTCAACTCTATCATAGTAAGAAAAGACCACGGCTGCAGTCGAAAAGATAAAAAATGACCTCCTAACGTCTATTCCTACCCATTTTTCCTTGACCTCTATCAAAACGTCATGGGGTCAAGGAAAGAAGTGAAGGAGAATTCATGAGGAGTTAGGAAAAGACAACCGTGGTGTTCAGAGAACCCGACTCCACTTTCACTAAGCTATGTAGTTATGATGCGACGGAGGATGTCACTGACGGAGGTCTGCCATGGTGGAACTACAACGAAGGAGGACTACAGGAAGTGCAACTAAAACATGACCCCATGAAAACTGTTCAATATCAATATTTCCTTTGTGCAATAATTTAGATTCAACAGTTTGGTTATATTGTGCTTTTTATCAGTTTAATAATCTATCATAGGCCTAGCTTGTAACCATATGTAACAAAATACTTATTGTATTGATAAGTGTGTTGTTCACCTGCAGTGGAAATGCTGACCTAAACAAGTCTACTAAGATCAGGTTGTGTTAGTAAATTGTATCTCAATATAAATGAATATATAAACCCCATAGTCCTGTGTGTGCTGCACATGTTTAGTGAATATTAATAATTAACATGTAGACTAAAAGTATCCTCAAGTTTAGGTGAAAGTTAAAGACAACACACAAAGTGAAGAACTGCGAGTATGATACCGTGTCTGTAAACTTTGATGCTGAGTACTTCTTCACTTTGTTTTCTTTCTATTGAGTCCAGTCTGCATAAAGCTACTAATATTCAGTGTAATGAGTTCCTCCCCAGTCATAATTATTCAAGACAGTGTTTCACTTTTGTAATAAAACAAACAAGATATCCCTGTGGACAAAAGTCCGATTTGCCTTCATGCTTCTTGTTGTGATGTCAATATTTCAAATGGAGCATTTTTCCAATCCATATATCGTGCATGAGCTGATCATCAGTGATATGTAAAGTTTCAAAAGAGAGAAATATAAACCACAAACCAAATTAACACACAATTCACTCTATATCATGAAATACTCCTGTAATCGCTTTTATTTTGGGATAGAGGTTTTTGGTGCAACAAACTATGATAAAATAAAATTCTACATTAACATAATGTAGTGTACAGACATGAGAGTCGCATCTTCACATCTAATTAGCATCTTTCCAAATTGTTGAACTGCTCTTTTAAGATGACTAAATTAGCATTAGCGACATAAAGTGGTGACAAGCTAAAGTTAAAATGCTAATCTTACAGTTACCTTCTTTAACAATTATTCCACTGAGTCCGACGTTTATCAATGTTACTATTTACACGTGTGCTTTCCTTACTGTGACATGTCAGCATTTCTTCAGAGAAAAAGGCCCGCTGGTGAAAATAAAAACATGCCACCTCCAAAGTGTTGTCTGAGACTTTATGGCATCACCAAAAAATAAAAAATCACAGATATGATTGGGACAAGACAGTGGTATTTGTCCGTAGCAGAGTATGGAGAGCATTTTACAAATGTAGCGGCTTGTGTGGTGGGGTTTTTTTAATTTAATTTTTATCACAATTTTACCTGATATATTTACCTCATGGGTAAATAGGTGTGGTCGCATATAGTTTGTGCTATGTATGAGAACCAAAACTGACCTAGGAAATAGATAATGAATACATTTGTATGATGTTAATCATTCAGGCATGGCCCATCAATAACCATAATAACTGAGTGGTTTGTATACCTGAGTGTGTTGATGCCTGTGGTGGTGGGGTTCAAAATTGCATTAAAGGGACACTCCAGCAGTTTAGTGATGCGCATAATGTTGAGACTTTCAAGAGAAAGCTGTAAAAATTGAAGCAGCAGAGGCTGACATGTCATGACTTGCAGTCTCTAATGAGACTCCAATGTGTCTTTTAGTTATACTCTTGCCTTTTAAAAATGGCTGTGCAGTAGGCCTACCTGCTATTGGCTGTGGCAATATAAAATGTGACACATAACATTAGGGGGGACTGCCTCTTTAATAAAAAACAAAATCCAAAATCATTGTTTTAATGCACTCAGATGAATACTCACAACAACCCACTTCACAGTGAGCAGAGTCACTGAAAACTATGAGCTGCTTTCTCCCAAAGCACACCTGTCCATCATTACTTTTGATTGAACAGTCCCTTTTAATCCCCTCGTGTCGGTAGCACGTGCAGTGCGCGCTTTCTCCGTCAGAGGGCGCATCCAAAACTCCGTTCAAAATATATTTATATCTATATTCCCTGAAACTCACATTCTTGGGAGTATGGAGCCACTTTAACGAAAGTGCGGCCACTCTAGTCAAGTTTTACCTTTGCGCGAAATAATCGGCACGTGCGAGCTCGTTCATCATCCCCAGCCCTGCACTTAAGTCAACACCGCACGAGAAGCCTGGGCACTTTCGCCACACGTTTGTGCTGCGCGGCGGTCGGGACCGCTAAACATCTCCGTCGGAAAGGGAAACGAGGAGAGAAAGAGAGAGCGAAAGAGAGAGAGAGAGGACATGAACGGAAGGGAGGCAGAAATCAGACATGCCAAGCTGTACACACGCGCAGCAGCGCTATTTTAGGGCGTGCAGAAAGGCGCCAAACAAAGTAGGGTTTACCGGATAAACGTAAACACTGGTGTTTATTATCCCCCCCCCCTCTGGAAATATTTCCGCTGCCGGAGAGCGTTGTTTCGCTCGTGTGTTGTGGAAAAGAGGGTTCCGGCGTTGGGCAAACACTGCCCTGTGTGTTATCTCTTCTTTTCCCTTATTGTTTGCTGTGGATATTACGGGAAGTTCTTGTCTTTTGCATTTTTTTGTTGTTGTACTTCCGAGGAAAGGTTAAATGCAAATTGCGGTTGGAGACTCCGGGCTTTGGTTGGACAACTAAACAGACTTAAAAACGTTGTGTTGCTTTTTTCTCTCTCCCCCTTACATTGTGTTGTGAGGCTGTGCTGTTTGGTTCACTGAAATGTGAGCCACTATGCTGAAGTCGGTACATGACAAAAACCGCTGCATCCAGCTGTTTTGTTAGCCGCTACTGTGACGCCTTTTCTTCTTTTTTTGGGGATTGGATATGCAAAGCAAACTTTTTAAGAATGAAGAGGAGAAAATTCCCGTAGCACGTCTCTGTCGTCTGCTCGCATCGCCGCCGCCGTGTACGCTAAACTGGATCCGTATTTCAGTGTTTATTTCCCCCTAAGCCTTCACTTCCATGTCGCGGAGACGGGAGAGCTGACATGCGTCTGGGATGGGGGGTGTAGCCCGGTAACGCACGGTTGCGAAATCGCCTGATTATCACAGCTGATAGTGAATGATTAAAACGTCCGCGCGCAGGTAAGGGAGCCGACTCGTGCCTGCTCGTGCGCCGTGAAACCTCCAGCTCTCAGCTGCTCCGCCGTAGAGCCAGTTCGAGGACTCCGCTTAAACACTTTGTGTGCGGGGGAGTCAGTCATTTGGAGCCGCTATGGAGGAGTGGAGACAATGCGGGAGGTGGTTGATAGACTGCAAGGTCTTGCCCCCGAACCACCGGGTCGTGTGGCCCTCGGCGGCCGTCTTCGACCTGGCGCAGGCTCTGAGAGACGGGGTGCTCCTGTGCCAGATGTTGCACAACCTCTCTCCGGGTTCGGTGGACCTGAAGGAGATCAATTTCAGACCCCAGATGTCACAGGTGAGCTGCGAACTTCCAACCAGCAAGATGATGGGTTGTTTGATGACACACACACACACACACACACACACACACACACACACACACTCTCTCTCTCTCTCTCTCTCTCTCTCTCTCTCTCTCTCTCTCTCTC